AGAGAATTAACCTATCAATCACTATCTTTAGACCTACTAAACTCTTTAGAATCAATTTCCCAAACGTTGAGAATCACAGTTGTTGGTGTTTTTAATAACTAAGATTAACAGTAACTAATAGTTGCAAATTAAAGATGCTAAGCTGTAAACAATAATGAGAAAGCGCTAAGGTACTGATTTCCCCTATTGATGGAATTCCTTCTGTTTATGTTTCATACAAATTCACCAACACATTCTATCAATCATGAACGCTCTTCTTACCATAAATCTCTCACGAGTAATCACAGTAATTTACTAACTGCACTCTCCCGAGATGCACTAGCTAGCTTTATTTATCACAGTTCACTTAAGATTACGCCCAAGGCTTCGTTATCCCTAATCCCGCCTTTAAACCCGCAGTTATAGATCCCTCATATACTTTGGGAGTGGTGTTGTTTAACAATTACCTAAATATGCACTCTCTCCCGAGTTATGCACACTAAATAGGCACAGCTAGTTGAGGATCCTGACAATTAAGTACAACAAACACGTAGTTGGACAAATAGAAATTAAACTGGCAAACTGTATTCACATAAACAAGAAGTTCATCCCTCAATAGGTTCCATCAAAACCCTAGACAAAAGATTTAGTTGCTCAGGACTATGAGTAAATAAACTAGAACAATATTCATAATCATAATTGCAAGAAAAATTAAAGTAGAAGAAGATATGATATTTTAGGTGATCTCTCACAATTGTTTTGCTTGCTAAAATATTCTCCAATACAAATCCCTGCCTCCCTTGGGCGAAGTCTAGTATTTAAAATAGGGTTTTGAGCTAAAAATCCCATGTTTTGCACTTAAGTCCCTGAACTTTTCCGCCTCTGCCGCAGTTCTGCCGCGGTCGCGGTCAAACCGCGACCACACACCTTCTCTGAATCTCAACTTGTCTGCGACAGTCTTCTACCGCGGTTCTGCCACGGTTGCGGTGGAACCGCGGCAGCCCTTCTTCAGGCATGGTTTGAGCTGCTTCGCTTGGTTCACTTGGCAAAATTTTACGATTGGCCTCTTTTTCTCCATATTTGATCCCAAAAGTACTCCATAGCCTTCTTTTGTCATATATCACCTGCAAAGCATGAAAAGCACTAATCAGAGCATTTTGTTATCACTTTTATCATCAAAACTATACAAGAAGGTGGTTCTTTAGGGCCTAATTATAGTTAAATTCACCTATTATCAGTAAATATTAAAGAACTAGAAAGTTCTTCACGAATTCTCTTAATTAATAGACAAACTAAAATTGGGATTGAATCCCATGAATGCTGAAAATATCAAAGGTTATGGGCCCATTCACCTGCCATGTATACCACATAAGATGCATCTATGAGATGGTTACATATGTGATTATTATTAACCTGCAACCTGGTGTTTGCGAGATAACTTGCTCAATAATTTAATTTAGAACATAATTTCTAGATTTTCTATTCAAGACAGTTCATCTTGATAAGTTGGTTTATATCACAATTGGTTTAGCAAAATAATTTATTAAGTGCCTCCACTTAATATCTAAACTATTTCTTATGAGAACAAAGTTATCTATATTAGTTTGATATATGTTATATACGAAAGTACATTATATTCTCCCCTCACAAGTAGTTCAGGATCAGCAACCAAGTAATTCCATCTTATTGATGTGCGTGTATATTTTGATTAACACAATAGCGCAAAAAGGTGGGTTTCCAAAGTTGAGGAAGCAAGTTAGTTTTTCTAAGGGAGAAACAGGAAAAATAATTGAAAAAAAGTTACATGGAATGAATTATCATTTGTACATCTTGAACCTCGAATAAAATAATATGAACTTGAATTTCATAAAAAAATAATTCATCTCCAATATATTGCAACGCATGCCAGACGCATTTGCTGACCAAAAGAAAGTAACTATATTCTCACTGCAAATGCTCTTATTAGAATAAGTCCTAGAAGGACAAAGTGTATGGTATGCTTAAAGCGTATTGACAAATCGGTTTCAAATAAAATTCTTGATAAAGAAGATGAGCAAATGATCAAAATGATCATATTAAGGAGGGAAGTGATCTAGAAGATCACATGACATAACACTTCATAAAATCTCGGGAGAGGTTCAGGTACCTGAAAATATGAATGAAGAGATTTCTATATTATGTTTTTATGAAAAAATGAAGTTGAAACTGATATAAAATGTATGTCTATGACATCTATGATGGCGCTAAGTATATATGAGGATCTTAAGTTTGTCGAATACAACAACTAAAATATTGGCGAAATGGAAGAGACAAAATTCGAATAGAATTGGTTTCAGATGGAAGATATGTAGTTATGGACTTGTAGTTCAAATACTCGAAAGTATAAAGTCAATAGTGTGTGCAATCACTTTCGTGTGTCTTATATGTCTGGCATGACATGAAAACTTGATTTTATATGGCTTATTCGACTGTACTTATATGTGTATTGGAGAAAATCAATATTACACTTGTAATTAATTATGTGGCTGAAGTAGCAAGACACATGGAACAGTAGAAAAGCGACACCTGGAGAAGAATACTTGAAGAGACGCGAGTCTAAATAGGTACGGGCAAGGCGTCTAAGAGACAAGAATAAACGGTTGCTCGGATCTCTTTAAAATATGAAGAGATATCAATGGAATGAATCAAGACGGCAAAAAGTACAGATTCGTTAACCTTCAATTAATGAGTATGAATGATTAGAAACGTTACAGAATCTTCTGAAACAGTTACGATTGCCAAATATAACATTTCATTAATATCATTAATTGCTCATTATGACTCAATTATGAGAAAAAAGAGACGTTGTACTTAGAAGTAGCTATATAAGAGGGAGAAATGACATTTGTATGGGCACGTTCTGATTATTATTGGAATATACTTATTTATTTTTCTTTATACCGATTGCTCTACTATTTCTCGTTCTAATTTTTCCTTTTTCATTACAAAGATATTCTTTTATTTGATTATCAGAAACCCGAGTACTTCTAAAGTAAGCTTTGACCGAAATTCCTATTTTCTGGTTAAACAAATTGGTTTCGTTACCGGGAATCTGATAATCTCCTCACTTTCCAAATCCATTCTTCTATAAAAAAAAATTTGTCGAAGTCAATGACAACGACCAACAAAATTTACAAAACCAACAAACTCAGCAACATCAGTTGAATCAACTAAATCAACAAGGAGATGGAACACCAGTACCCTCACCACGTTACTCTCCTCGGCAGTCTCGAGAGGGGACTCCTGACGGATCTGAATCAAATATGAATGAGCAGCGGGAGAATGATCAAGCTGTTGATGAACCGTTGAAGCAGTTAATCGCTCAACAGGTCAACAATGCTCTTCAAGCTATTGTTAGCAGGTTTCCGACTATTCCACCTACTCCGCCTCCAAACAACAATGCAACCGTAGAAAATCCCCGCTTGGGACTCGTTAAATCAGGCAGCGGAGGAACTCCCAGCGAATCTCGAGATGGAGAATCAGGTAACCCAATTAACTCTGATTTACAAAGTTTAGTACTAACTTTGCAGAAGCATCTCAAGGAACAGAGCGATCACATAGAGCAGATACCTGGTGTACCGCCTGTAATCTAGGGAATAGATATGGAAAAATACTCTCAACAACCTTGGAAGCCAAGTGCCGCTCCTTTTCCAATTCCAAAAAAATTCAAGATGCCCGATATCGTGAAATACGATGGAACAACTAATCCACGGGACCACGTAACTGCATTTACAATTGGCGTAAAGGGCAATGACTTGACTAAGCAAGAAATTGAATCAGTATTGGTCAAAAAGTTCGGAGAAACACTCACGAAGGGAGCATTGACATGGTACTCTCTTTTACCTGAAAATTCTATTGATTCCTTTGTTGAGCTTGCAGATTCGTTTATAAAAGCACACTCGGGAGCTCAGAAAGTTGAAAAGAGGATGTAAGACATTTTCAAAATTAAACAAGGGGATACGGAGCTGCTTAGGGAATTTGTAGACAGATTACAGCGTGAAAGGATGATGTTGCCACGTGTTTCCGATAATTCGACGACTATGGCATTTACCAGTAATCTGAATGAAAAAAGCTCGAAAGCCACGAGGAGACTTAAAGAAAGCTTGCGAGAATTAACTGCAACAACTTGGAATGATGTTTATAATAGATACAACACAAAGCTGCGGATAGAAGAAGATACTATCACTTAGTCTCAGAAAGATGAAAGAGTAAGTTCAAGGCGGGTGGAAACTGAAAAAAGGTCCGGTAAAAATAGGTACGAACCTTATTTGGGATCAGCAGGAAGGGATTCACGTTCAAAACAAGAAAATCCAAGGTATGACCCTAGATCAATGGACAGACAATCAGGTTCATCGTCAAGGTACGGAAAGGAGCGAAACACGTGAGGCACACGGGATGACGACAAAGGATCAAAAGCAAAAATTGGTAGTTATAGTTTTAATGTTAGCACGTCTAAGTTGGTGGATGTTTTAAGAAGCATGGGAGATAAGGTACGATGGGCAAAAGAAATGAGGTCAAATCCAAATCGGGAAATAGGAGAAATCCCAATTTTTGGTACGAGTTTAACAATGATCACGGTCATAAAACGACGGACTACAGATTGCTACAAGGTGAGGTGGAACATCTATTAAAACAAGGTTACTTAACCGAATTGTTCAGTGAAAAGGGAAAGCAAGCATATATGAGGAATAGGCAAGAACCGCCGAAACCTCCGTCACCAAAACGAACGGTTAATGTCATAAGTGGAGGGGAGGAGGTCAATGGCGTAACATACAAGGCAGTAAAGAAGGTGTCAAAAATCACAATCACCCACGGGAAGTGATTTCGTCAAGTTTTGGAAGAAGATAGTATAACATTTGATGATGCTGATGGCGTGCTGACCCCACACAATGATGCACTGGTAATATCTTTATTTGTACATGATACTATTGTAAAGCTAGTTTTTATTGATCCAGGTAGTTCCTTAAATATCATTCTGTTAAGAGTGGTAAACGAGATGCAAGCCAATGATAAATTGATACCCAAAGCACGGACCTTGTCTGGTTTTGAAAACTCAAGCGTTATAACGAAGGGGGAGATAATACTCACCACATTCGCAGAAGGAGTAGTCATAGATACCAAATGTCAAGTGATAGAATTGGATATGGCGTACGATATGATTCTCAGCAGACTGTGGATTCACGAAATGGATGTTGTTCCGTCTACCCTGCACCAAGTTATCAAGTTTCCCTCACAATGGGGAATACAAAAAATCTGTGGCAATCAACAGGCTTCTCGAAGCATTAACTCAGTGGCAGACTCGAGTGCGAAAAGCGATGAAAAATAGCAATTACAAAATTCTGTTGAGGATTTAGCAATGCAAGCCTCAACTGTAGACGGACAAACAGATGTAGACTCAAGGCCCGATACTATTCATGAACCAGAAGAGAATGAAAACATCAAAACAACAATCGAGGAACTGGAAGCTGTGGTACTGTTCATACATTGGCCGGACAGAAAATTCTACATTGGAGCCAACCTCAGCCCGGAGATGAAAAGTAAGTTAATTGAATTTTTAAAAGCTAATGCAGATTGCTTTGCTTGGTCGCATTCAGATATGACAGGTATACCACCGGAGGTAATGACCCATAAGCTGAATGAAGATCCAACATATCCACCTGTCAAACAAAAGAAAAGGAAGCAAGGGTCCTTCAAGAATCAGGCGATTCAGGTAAAGTACAAAAACTCTTAAAAATCGGATCTATCCGCGAGGTAAAGTATCCTGATTGGTTAGATAATACTATAGTAGTGCCCAAAAAGAATGGTAAGTGGCGAGTTTGTGTGGACTATACTGACTTAAATAAAGCTTGTCCTAAAGATTCTTTTCCATTACCACACATAGATCAATTAATTCATGCTACTGCAGGACATGAGCTATTAAGTTTTTAGATGCCTATTCAGGATATAACCAGAAAAATATGGATCCTCCAGATGAGGAACAAACTTTCTTTATTACAGACAGGGGGACTTACTATTATAAAATTGTGCCATTCGGTCTAAAGAATGCTGGGGCCACGTTTCAGAGGCTAGTGACCAAGATGTTTCAAGAACGTTTAGGAAAAACCATGGAGGTTTATATAGATGATATGCTAGTCAAATCACAACAAGCAGGGGATCATATTCAACACCGGTCAGATACGTTTCAGATCTTCCGCAAATTCAACATGAAGTTAAATCCTGAGAAATGTGCATTTGGCGTGTCGTCAGGTAAGTTCTTGGGATTCCTTGTCTCTAACCGTGGCATTGAGGTAAATCCCGCGCAGATTAAGGCTATTGAAGAAATACCAAATATACTTACGAGTAAAAAAGAAGTGCAGAGGTTGACAGGTAGAATAGCAGCGTTGGGAAGGTTTATTTTCAAATTATCGAAAAGATGCTTTAAGTTCTTTTCAGGCTTGAAAAAGCAAAGTCAATTTGAATGGTCTGAAGAATGTCAACAAGCACTCAAAAATTTAAAAGCATACCTGTCAAACCCACTATTGCTAGCCAAACCAAAGGACGGGGAAAAACTACTCATCTATCTCGCTATTTTCGAAGTGGCAGTAAGTGCTGTATTAGTTCGAGAGGACCAAGGTAAACAATCTCCAATTTACTATGTTAGCAAGTCTTTATTGGATGATGAAACTCGATATCCTCATTTAGAAAAACTTGCATTAGCATTAATGATGACATCTGGAAAATTAAGGCCTTATTTTCAATGGTATCCTATCTCTGTGGTAACTGTCTACCCCTTACGTAATATCTTACATAAACAAGATTTGTCAGGTAGGTTAGCCAAATGGGCTATATAACTGAGTGAATATGACATCACATATCAACCTAGAACTGCAATAAAGTCACAGGTTTTAGCAGATTTGGTGGCAAAAGTCCAGGGATAGTAGCAGCAGCAAAAAAAGAACTACAGGTATTTAACGGGTCTAATCCAGGTACCTCGACCCTATTTACCGATGGCTCTTCAAATGTAAAAGGAGCAGGTTTGGGCATTATCCTTATTCTACCCGCGGGAGAGACTATACGACAAGCCATAAAATCCCATCCTATTACTAATAATGAAGCGGAATATAAAGCTGTGATTGCAGGTCTAGAATTGGCACGAGAGCTTGGAATAGAGCAGGTTATAATCAAAAGCGATTCGCAACTTGTAGTTAACCAAATGCAGGGGACTTATGTAGCTAGAAAGGTGAGGATGCAAAAATATCTGGAAAAGGCACGAGACATAATTAGACAATTCCAAACTAGGAAAATTGTGCAAATACCAAGAGAAGAGAACGTCGAGGCAGACGTGTTAGCTAATCTTGCATCCACGGCAGAAGTAACAAATGAAGAGAATGCTTCTGTAATACATTTGTTTCGTTCAGTACTCGACTAAGATAAAAACGAGGTAAATTTCAATAATTTAACTTGGGATTGGAGAAACGAAATTGTCAACTTTTTGCAGTACGGAACACTACCTGAAGATAAGAAAAAGGCTCAGGCACTTCGTCGAATGGTTGCTCGTTATTGCTTAGATCGAGGCAATCTATATCGAAAAATGTTCGTTGGCCCTCTAGAAAGGTGTCTCGGACCTTCTCAAATGGAATATGTGATGAGGGAAATACACGAGGGACATTGAGGAAATCACGCCGGAGGAAGATCTTTGGTAAAAACTTTAATTAGAGTAGGGTATTACTGGCCAAAAATGGAAGAAGAAACACAAAATTTTGTGGCTAAATGTGACAAGTGCCAAAGGTATGGTAACAATATGCATCGACCAGTAGAATTATTACATTCGGTTGTTGCACCATGGACTTTTATGAAATGGGGGAAGGATATCGTGGGTCCACTACCACAAGCCAAAGGCAAGGTACGATTTTTATTAGTACTCACTGATTATTTTACTAAGTGGGTAGAAGCAGGTGCCTTCAAACAGGTACGTGAAAAAGAGGTCAGAGACTTCATTTGGCGAAACATCATATGCTGGTTTGGAGTTCCAAAAGAGATCGTGTGCGATAATGGCTCGCGGTTCATAGGTGCACAAATCAGAGAATTCTTTCAAAGTTGGCAAATTAAAAGGATTACTTCGACACCTCATCATCCAGTGGCCAATGGATAAGCTGAGTCAACAAATAAAGTTATTATTAATAACTTGAAGAAAAGACTAGAGGAGTCAAAAGGCAAGTGGCCAGAGGTGTTACCTGGAGTCTTGTGGGCATACCGAACAACAGCAAAAACAAGTATGGGAGAAACACCAATCTCACTTGTATACGGAGCTGAGGCTTTAATTCCAGTTGATATAGCGGAGCCAAGTACGAGATATGTTCAAGCAGCTGAAGATTCAAATGAAGAGGATATGCGGATAAATCTTAATTTGCTTGAAGAAAGGAGAGAAAAAGATTTGATAAGGATGGCTGCGCAAAACCAAGTTATAGAGCGATATTACAATCGGAAAGCTCGTCTTAGATACTTCAAGGTTAGGGACTACGTACTCAAGAAAGTTTTCCAATCCACAAGATTAGCCAATGCTGGAAAGCTGAGTCCAAACTGGGAAGGACCTTACAAGGTTCGAGGTATCGCAGGAAAAGGTGCATATGAACTTGAAACCATGGATGGCAAGGTTCTACCCTCAAGTTGGAATGCTTTTCATCTGAAAAAGTATTATTTCTAAGAGAACGGAAGAAAAGGAAATACCCACGGTCAGGTACCTTCAATTACAATTTTTGTTTTTGAAGTGTTAAAGTTATACTAACAATTTTAGATGATAGGCAAAAAGCTAGCCCACGCCAAATGAGGATATTATACCTGAAAGACACGCAGAAGAAACATAATTCCCAGTCTAGGGTTACAACTTTTCTGATGGAAATATAAAGGGTTAAGCAGTCTTCATCTAAGTTATACCTCCGAGTCTCATATGTTTTTCCTTTTTAGGAAAAGGACCGCGTGGAAAGAATAATCAAGTGCTAGAGATTTCATGCTTCAAAGCTCAAACACTTGGGGGACAATATAATATACGCGTAAGGAAGGCAAGGAAGACTGGAATAATTAGAATTCAATCCAAAGCCTAAAGTCTACCCAACAAATCAAACGTTCAGAGCAAAGCCACGAGCCAAAAACACAAGCCTGATTCAGAAACCTATGAAGAATACTCTCGTGGATGAAAATTCCAAAATCTTACGAATGTTTAGGTTAAAGGCAATATTAGTCATGGGTTGTCAAAATATACCCTTGAAATTTTACAAATATGTTGTAAAGAAAAAAGTTACGAAAGAGTTATAGATGAGACTTAAATACATGTAGAGCATTATTCAGTTTGTAAGTTCGAATGATATAAAACTTTTCTCGAAAGTCGTTCAAAGAAACACGTGTGTTCCTATTCCTTCTTTCTTATGTTTACACCATTATGAAGTTGGGACGTCTTCTTCATTAAGTGTTGTATATAAAAGGGCCCACTTTTATAAATCGTGCTTGATTCAAAAAGCCACGAAATTAACAAAGCATTTTTAAATGCAAAATTTAAAAGAGTAAAACAGAACCCACATATTAAAATTGAAGTGGAAAACAAAGCTCCAAACTTATAAAGAAAAAGGCAAGGGCAAACCACTAAGATAGTAAAAATAGAAACTCGAAATATAGGTATCATAAAAGTTAGAAAAGATAAACTTTCTAATGTCATAATACCATGGTTAAAACTAAGTATGAACTTAGTTTTAACCTGATTGGCCTTACAAAAAGCCCCGAAACGGACTAGCGGCAAAACCTTTCAAAACATCACCCTAAAATAAGACCAGGGGTAAACCACCAAGTATTCCATCAACAAAAAAAAAGCAAACTTTTCAATCAAACTTTCACTATGGAGCAGGTTCTGAACCAGTATTCAAGATAGTATCACCAGTAACAGGAGGTTCAACTTGAGCAGAAGGGGTTTGAACAATTGCTACACCAGGATCAGCTTCATCATCTTCAGGAGTATCAGCCACGGGTGAAGAAAAACTCTGGCTTTGCTGGGTTTTCTCAATTGTTTCCTCAATTTTTGCTATCTCAGCAGCTAAGTTAAAACCTTCCTGGCTTACCTCCATAAGAGTATCATGGCACGCCTTCAAAAAGGCCCAACTTACTTCAACAACAGCCTTGTCTTCAAGAGCTTCGTAATCTTTCTCCCAATGATCAATTTCATTCTTAAGCTCTTCCTTCTCAGTTAAGGCAGCATCATAAGAAGCCTGTAAGGGGGCAAGCGAACTCTCCAAAAATTAAACCCTATCGGAAGACACCCGGAGATTTTCTTGAGCCTGGGTGAGTGTTTGAACAAGCTCA